TCTTACGAAAAAAGAATAATGCTGGAGGTGTCACACTCCCTGACTTCAGCTTGTACTACAGAGCAACAATAATCAAAACAGCATGGTATTGGCCGAAAAGCAGACACACAGACCAATAGAATAGAATTAAAAACCCAGAAATAGACCCATATAAATATGGATAGACAATTTTCAACAAAGGAGCAAAAAACATACCATGGACAAAAGAAAGCCTCTTCAATAAATGGTGCTGGGAAATCGAAAAGCCATGTGCAAAAGAATGAAACTAGAGTGCTATCTATCACTTTGTACCAAAATTAACTCAATATGTATCAAAGACATAAACATAAGACCTGATACAATAAACTTCATAGAAGAAAGCACAAGTACTAAAGTTATGGACCTTGAGTTCAAAGAGGACTTTATGAATTTGACCTCAAATGCAAGGGAAGTAAAAGCTAAAATAAATGAATGGGACTATATCAAATTTAAAAACTTCTGCACAGCAAAAGAATCCATCAACAAAACAAAGAAGCAAACGACCGAATGGGGAAAGATTGTTGTAAATGCCTCTGCTAAGGGGTTAATATCCAAAATACATAAGGAACTCATACAACTCAACCAAAAAAAACCAAGCAATCCAATTAAAAAATTGGCAGTGTACATGGACAGAAACTTCTCGCAACAAGACATACAAATGTCCAACAGATATATGAAAATATGCTCAACTTCACTAGCTATTAGGGAAATGCAAATCAAAACCACCATTAGATACCACCTCACACCTGTTAGAATGGCTATCATCAGCGACACCTAATAACAATTATTGGAGAGGTTGTGGAGAAAAAGGAACCCTCATACCCTGATGGTGGGAATGTAAATTAGTATAGCCACTGTGGAAAACAATATGAGCTTCCTTAAAAAAATTAAGAATAGAATTACCATATGACCCAGAAATCCCTCTCCTGGATATATACCCCCCCTAAAAAATCTGAAAACATATCCATAAAGATATATATATTCCAATGTTCATTACAGCATTATCTATGGTGACCAAGACATGGAAATAACCAAAGTTTCCTTCAATAGATGACTGGATAAAGAAGATGTGGTATATATAGACAATGGAATACTACTATGCCATAAGAAAAAATGAAATACTGTCATTTGCAATAATATGGATGGATCTTGAGATTATTATGCTAAGTGGAATAAGTCAGACACAAAAATTCAAGAACCATATGACTTCTCATATGTGGGATGTAAAACAGAAAGCAACAAAGGAACAAGACAAACAAATAAAGAAACAAAAACTCAAAAACTCATAGACACAAACAACAGCTTAGTTGTTACCAGAGGGTAAGTGGGGAGGGGGTGGTAGAAGAGGGTAAAGGGGGTCAAATAATGGTGATGGAAGAAGAACTGACTCTGTGTGGTGAACACATAATGCAATATATAGATGACGTATTATAGAATTGTACAGCTGTAACCTATATATTTTTGTTGACCATTGTAACCTCAATAAATTTTTTTTTTAGATTTTTTTTTATTGGGGAATTGGGGGAAGGGGAACAGACAAGTTGCTGTCCTTTTGTTCTTCAGTCTAGTTGTGGAGGGCGTTGCTTCACTGTCCCAAGTTGGCACCATCATTGCGCTCTTCACGGGCGAGGCAGATCAGTCGCCGGCTTCTGGACGGCCGCTCACTGCGGTTGCTGGCCGCTCACGCTGGCTGCTGGCTTCAAATGGTAGCCCATGGCAACCCACTGCCACAGGGGCTGCAGCCTACACCGTCGCCGGCGACTCACAGCAGCCCAGCTCCAGGTTGAGCTGTTGTTTAGCATCTTAGCTGTAGAGGGCAGTGTCACTGGCCCTCATATGTGGGATCCGAACTGGGGCCCTCTGGCATCCCAAGCCAGTTCTTAACCATCGCGCCACTCGGCCAGCCCGTAACCCCAATAAATTTTAATTAAAAAAAGCAATTAAGAAAAAAAGCAAATCAGAAAAAAAGAAAGAAAATGCCTTTACTGTCTGGGTTCCTCATATCAATGTCTTTTTGTCTATGATATTACACTAAACTCTGGTCTGTATATTCCTTACCACTACGGTCAAAGCTGTATGAAAAGAAGAAAAAACAGTGCCTCTAAATGTTTAAGTCTCAATTGCATTTTGTCAGTCATATCTGGGTGGTGTTGGAACAGGCGAGGCCATGTGAGTAAACCTCCCATAAAAGCCAGGTAGATGAGGGTTTAAATTATGCACAGTCTATTTTCGGCTTTGAAGGACTTTTGCAGATGTGGTCCTCTGGTTGCAAATTCCTCTGGGAGAGTTCAAAAAAACATATGCTCTCAACCTCCAAGTAGAAACCCTGAATATTTCCATACCCACAGTAAAGGTGAGCCACCCTGCTACAATGCAGACACCTAGGCAAGCTTTGGTTCCTGCCCCCATCAGCTTCTTAATTGCACTGAGTTCCTCCAGTAGGTTTGTCCTGGAATTCTTATAGTAATGCCTGATATTTGCATGGTGCTTTTAACTTTGGAAGGGTTTTGCTTTGTATATCCTTGATCTCCTGAAGAGGTTAGCAGGGTAGGGCAGGAACAGATAGAAATATTTGGGTCTTATCCACAATCTACTGGGAAAGCACCCAAATTCAAGAACACCCATAATCCTCATATGTTAAAGACGACTGTACTGTATATAGGGCCCTTGAAGGAGACAGCTCACAAGAATAAGGCTTTCTTTCTCCCTCAGCACTGCTTTTGGTTATATCTCAGGTTTGAAGTAGAAGCCTCAGGTGGACTGCAGTTTGGTCAGAGAAAAGGAAATGCCCTGAAGTCTTGTCCACAGCCACATATCCTACTCACTCCTCATGCCAAAGGAGGGACTAGCTTCATAACAACATAGACCTCTTTTGTCTGGGAGGCTGTACATTTGAGGTTGCTGACCACAGTAAAACTGCCTTTGAGTGGCAGGCTGAAAGTTTCCAGGATCAAGTGACTTTTTTTCCTCCATCTACATCATCTACATCATTTGCCAATATTTAGAAACACTTATTAAAGTGTTTAAACAGTATGAAGGAGAGGCTCCAAACTCACCCCTGCCTCTTCAGCACACAAATTCTTCATCCCCCAAAGCAATACTTTTCTCTAGTGCCTTGCTCCCACACAAAAGCTTAACACTCCCCAGAATATATCGGGCCACTTCAGGGCTAAGGGGACCAACCACAATAGAAAACCTTGTCATGCTTGGTGCCCTGAGGATAGCCTAGGAGAGTTGCTAGGGTGACCACTAAACATAACTATGCCAGGTTCGCCAGAAGGCAATGGGAACACTGGGCCATTGAGGCAGAGAAGGCGGTTCTGGGTCTTTCTGGAGCTCCACTCAGGCTAGCAGTGTTTGCTCAAGGGTTTAAGGCCACAGCTGGAAGTACGTACAGCTCAAACGGAGCTTTGTCTCAGTTCTGGGTTGTTCTGAGAATGGGTAGGGGAAATAGTTTTAAGTATAACCCAGGGTCCAGAAAGGCAGAGCATCACACCCCCTTTTCAGAGAGACGTAGTGAGGGAGATAAAAGGCAAAGCAGAGCTTTGGTTCAGGAGATGATGCCAGCTAGAGGACCTACGCGCCTGCAGGTTGCAGGTAGAAATCTCAGGTTTGTGGTGGGGTTGGGGTCATTCAGTTGGTTCCAGGTTCCAGGATGGCTCAAGAGGGTCTGCATTCTGGGTGCGAGTGTAGGTTGAGAGGTGGGGGTGGAGCGGTGCCTCAGGTGACAGGAAGGCAAGGCGCAGATATTAAAAAGTCGTTCAATGGTCCGGTGATACCCCACATACGCACACACAGATGCCACTGCCACCACTAACCAAGTTACTCCCTCATTCCTACTAGACCACTATCTGTCCTCAACCCCTTCAAGTCTAGGCTTTGTCTTGGAAGACCAATCCTATGGGTGAGGGGTGCAGGGATGGAAGAACTGGGGTGCGTTCCTTGGGGCTACTTGCACTGGGTTACACTTAGGGATCAAAGCCGGCCCAGAAGACCCCAGGTCAGCTCCTGGCGCCTCAGGGACCCGCTGTCGGCAGACTGCTCGCCCGCCGCGCTCCGGCTGGCTCAACTCTACTTCCCCAGGGATGATCAGTGGCTGCCGGCACAACCCTGCTGTCGGCCGCCCAGAGCCCGAGCTGAGGGATAGGTGGGGGTCACTGTCCAAAGCAGGGGGCTCTCAGGCCAAGGGGCAAAGAAAGACTCTATAAGCCAGGAACCGCGAGACGCTCTAGTCCCTTCTACCCGCACCCACGCTCAGCCCCGCAGGCTCTGCCACCACCCAAGGAAGGGGGAGGCCCAGGGAGAGCAAACGAACGATACAGAAAATTCCGTACCGAGAGGGGAGAGATGAGACGGTGGGACACGGCAGCGGGGGGTGACTTGGGGTTGCGGCTGCGGCTTCCTTCCACCCCTGGCCTCCACGCTGCAGAGAAGGCAGGAGCGGCTGCCTGGTCCTCCCTCTTTCCCTCCCCGCTCTCTACCTCCCCCGCACTCCCGCCCGCCCCTGCCGAGAGCGTGGAGTGTGTGAGGTATTAGCCCGGCTGGGGGGAGGTGAGATGTGCTTTCGCCAACAGCGGCAGTCTTCCCTGCCCACCCCTCACACACACCCCACGACCGCGACGGGTTCTCCGCAGTCACCCAAAGGGAGGGAGAAGGAGAGAACAGGAACTGAGGGAAGCCAGGAGCAGATAGCAGAGAAAAAGAAGAGCTCAGGGTTGGACATTTTTGGAGCTTGGGGTGGGGAGGAGAAAGAGAGCGCGCCTCCTCGATTTTCCCCTCCCCATCCCTCTTTTCTTTTCTCTCCCCTTCGCTGTATAGCATTTTCCAGAAGCGACAGCAGAAGGGGACAGAAACCTAGCCTACAAAGATTTGGAGGGGTGGCGGGGGCCGCTACCTAGTAGCTAGAGCTTGAGTGTGCATTTGTACATGTAAGAGTGTGAATGCGGTTTCTCTCTCTCTCTCTCTCTCTCTCTCTCTCTCTCTCTCTCTCTCTGTCTCTCCCCCCTCCCTCCCTCCCTCCCCTCCTCCCTCCTTTCCTCCTTTTCTATCTGTCACATTCTATTCCTCACAATCCCGTGTCAGCTAACCCTGTCAGTTTCCTTGTGTCAGTTTCTTCTCTTACTGGTACTGTGTGGTTGGCTGCGTGAAAGGAATACGTGTGTTTCAAAGGGCCCAGGTTGGCTCAGAGAGCCGAGAGAAGCGATGGAGAGGTAAAGAGTTTCTGGGCACTGACGAAGGCGGAAGGTGAGGAAGGCCAACCAGCCGAGAGGGAAGTTTGGAGATAATTGAGAAGAGAAGGGAGAAACCAAGGTAGGAACCAGCACTTGCGCCCCTCACTGCACCCCGCCCTTCCCTGTGTTCACGCACCCACCATCTCAGCAACCTCAAAGCCCCTGGCTGTCCCAGGCTGCTAGTGTTTGTGCGCCAGGGGAGAAGGGACCAGAAAGGCCGCCGCACCGCGCGCCCTGGCTCAGGGACACCAGACGTCGCAGATCTGAACAAAACGACTTGGCCAGGGTAAGTGGATAAGCGACCCGTGCCTTCTGTTTTGCTGCAGGAGCACTGCCAAGGGGTGGCAAGGTGCGGGTTGAGCTAAGGTGACAGGATGGGGATGCTGAGGGCTGGGACGTACTAGCTGGCTGGCCTTGGGCTTGCATGGTGGGGAGCAGAGCAAAGGCAGCAACAGATTGTTTTTGGACACAGGTAGAGAGCTGTAGTGGGGGTGGGAGGAAGCTCTAGTGGCATTAGGACAAGGTGCCTTTTGGCAATGACCCAAAACATCCTTTTCACTTGGGATACTCCCTAAAAGCAGAGCTTCGCCTTACCTCTGAATAGTGATCTATTTGCTTCATCCCTGGGTAGGTATTAAGCTCCCTAGGAACCTGCTCCTAGGCCTCCTCAAAATCAGACGGGCATGGGAATAAGTTCACTTGCCCTTTTGCTAAAATCCACTTTAAGATGCAGAGATGAGCTTATGGGGGCTCACGTACCAGAAGAAGAATCTTCTTTCTGTTTTGTATCTTTCAAACTTATGAAATACCCAAATTCATTTTCCTGGCTTCCTTAAAGGAACCAAGAAATGAAAATTGGAGGACATCAATCTGATCTCTGCTCCAAAGTGGACACCTTCTCCTCCCTGCAAACACACAAACATTGACTTGGACAGTCATGATCATACACCCCCCACACACAGGTACTGAGCTCTATTCACAGATGCTGATCTTTCTCCATGGTCTCTAAGGATGAGACTGGGAGAAGGGCTTACTCCCCATTGCCAACCTGAGCTTTTCTGGCTATAGTCAGGTATGTGGTGGTGGATGAGTGGCTAGCAAGGTTATCACTCCCTCATGAAAAACCTGGAGCTTGGAAACCAGCCTGGAAGACGGGATCTCTGAACTTTACCTGAATTTATTATTTGAGTAAGAAAGACACAGACGAATCAATAATTCACCATTTAGAGATTGTTCATATCAGTCCTGGCTTCAAATGAAAAATAATTACTACATTTACATGGAATGCACACCCACTTGTCTATTGCCATATATTTATCCCCACAGCAGTTAGCTAATATAGCACATTTACATAGCAGGGTTCATAATTCTCTATTGTTGGTCTCAGGCCTTTTTTGTTGTTGTTGTTGTTGTTCTACAGATGATGTATATCATGTCTCCTTTCCCACAGACTATTACAAAGCTGGGATATAAATGATGTCAAATGGTACCTTTCACTCAGTCTTTAATGTCTTGCTTATTCTAAATCAAAAGGCATGAAAATACATTCACATAATACCAAGTTGGTTTCAAAGCAAATGTTTAGCCTGGAATAAAGGAAATCCACTGGGTCAAGAGTAGCCTCTGTCAGTCTGCTTGCAAGGTTGAAAGAAAAACTGAATCCCACTTGAAATCTATGTTTTGGTCCTTAGGAGATGCTGCATTCACAATATATATATATGGTGTGTGTGTGTGTACGTGTGTGTGTGTGTATTTTTTCAAAGACCTGGATCAACTCCATACTACAAATCTGGTCTCTGTACTGCTGTAGCAGAGAGGAGAGCATTTGAATTCATGCTTGCAAAGCACTCAGGCTCTTCTGTTAAACTTTCTATTTATTACTATGTTACTGAATACAATGAATTACCTCCTTCCAATTCAGTAAATGAGAGAAACAGATTCTGCATTAAGTGGAACTGTTTATGTTCCATCAGGCAATTTGTTCTAAAGCTCACTGCTGAGAGTCACAACAGCATGAGAATTACTCAAGTAGGATCTGAAAAGGTGTCCATTCTGTTACTTTTTTAGGTGATTGTAAACAAATATCTTCTTAGATATGTTAAAATTACACTTTTCCATAAATAGCAAAGAGCAGGCTGCAGGCAGGTAGGAAAAAACTGGCAGCTTCATACTTAGGAAGAACTGAAAGTGTCAACAGGGATGAAGCCTAATGTGTAGGTCTTTGCTCTGTTCTTGGTGATGTATCTGCTTGTTGTAGTGGGTCCTGATCCATGGTTCCTCAGTGGACAAGGCATTGCAGGGATCAAGAACAAATGACGCCCCGAGCTATGTTGACACATGTTCACCTGGCTTCAGTGTATGCTCCAACACAGAGACCTGGACCAAATATCTGCTACCTACTGCTATAAAAGCTATAGTCCTGTGATTCCATTTTTTCTAGAATTAACATCCAAAACTAGAATGACACACAGAACCACAACACGTAGAGAAGGCTTGACCAGAAAATTGGAGGGAGATACAGTCAGGAGGAAGAGGAGGGATAGGCGAGAGAGAGAAAACCTAAAAATGTTTTGAAACACATCGAGGTGTTTGCTTTCTTTTATTTTGGCTGAGAATAGAATTAGTCCAGAAAATTCACTGAGATATGAAGCACGCTGAAATTGCTTACAATTGCCTTGTAAAAACTGAGCAAACAGTGACAGAATTCCATAGAACCAGATAATTTGGTGCATTGGAGTACATTTTCACTTTTTCCATCTGATTTCCCTCCTTAGCATATTAAATTTTTATCTATCAGCCATGCAGGTAATTAATTATCAAATGGATATTTCAAATGTGTCATGCTATTTTCCTTCAGTCTGCTTCCAAATATTCGAATTTGTCTTTTGCCGTAGCTCCATCACTAAAGGAGAAGAACCAAAACATTTCTGACTCCTTCTGCCAAAGGTTCTTGTTTTCAGCTAAGTACACTAAGCCATTCAAGAGCCTCTGTTAGTTGGGGAATATGAGGGGCACGACCTTTCTTTCCAAGGTGCCACCAACCTAACCTAGCCTGGACATTTTTCAGGTTTTCAGGGAGGGTTATGACAAAATTTTCAGCAGGCAGACAGAAATGATGCCTCATTCTAGGCAGAAGTTGCAGCTAATCAACCCCAGATTAGGACTCGAGACTAGCCACCAACTCCAGAGCTTAGTACCTGAGGTTTTCATAGTGTCATCCTTTCTAAAACTCATGTGGCTTTCCTTTGGTAGATGGTTCTTTCAAGCCCTTTGTCCAGTTAGACCAACCAACTCATCCCAACAGCAAAAAATGAGTCTTCAATGACTCAGCTGTGGTTTCATAAGCAAATATGTACATCATGCTTAACTGAGTAATAATAGATGATTTTAAAAAATAATAAAAGCACAATAAGCATTGCATCAATATGGTTTCAGGTTAAAAAGTCTATTCTATGATTAAAAATAATAATAAAAGCTGGTGGGCACAGCAAAAATTGGAGCTCACTGGGTCAAGGGAATTTTGCAAGTTCCCCAAGTTTGCTTCTCCATTATCCATTGCAGAGTTAGCACTTAGATGCTGGTGGCCAATGCAACTGCCCCAGCTTTTCACCTTAACAAAGGCAAGGAAAGAGCTGATGGTGAAAAACATGCAGGGATTATGGCAGAGTCTAATTCCCTCATTTCACCTATAGATAAATTGAAGCCAGGAGAATAGAAATGTCTTGCCAGAATCATGCAAGTAGACAGCAACAGACCAAAACCAAAATCCAGGACTGCATCCTAGTACTAAATTTCCTAAAAATCTGGAAAATTTTCCAAAAAATCAAGAGGAAACTAAAGCCATTTTGACTAAGATCACAACCCTCTATTCCCATCACACATTTATATTTATGTGTTTATTGCCATATTTTGCTCTCTCAACCACCACTTGCCCCAACATACATACACACACACACTCATGCCCTATCTTGCTAGCAAAGAAAACATGGCATATACCTATAGCTACCATATTCAGGTGGAGGGCAGAATTAAACATGACAAAGGTGTAGCTGCTCACACTTTTATTGCTGATCTAGCTCACACCACCAACAGCAAGGTGTCTAGAAAACCCAATCTTTGCATTTCTCTATAGTTGTGAGGAATAGAAACTGGTGGAATCCAGTGACTGTGACTGGCTCTATATACTGTCTCAGAATCAGCTCCCATAAATGTGCACGCACACACACACATATACACAAACACACACACACATTCACACACTTCCTGAAAAATTAAAACAAAAGAAATGGAAAGGACAAGGCAGATGGATTTTTTTATAGTAGAGTATGAGAAGGAAAGTTTACAGGGGCATGATTGTTCTTTCCTGACTTCATTCTTTAGCCTCAATACCTGGTTTCCACCTTATCTTCTCTTAGGATCTGAGAAAATAGGCCAATGTAAACATGTCTGTTATAGCCCAGAAGGGTTATATGAAGAACTTCCATATTATAGTGAGGATATACAAGGTTAAAAAAGAGGGGCTAGGATGGAGTGGGCTAGGACTTGATTACTCTGAGTGTGGTTCCCCACACCAGTAGCACCACCTTCCATTGGGAGCTATTTGTAGGTGCAGAATTTTAGACCTGTCCTCAGACCTACTGAATTGGAATCTGATTTTGAAGAATATCTCCAGTGATTTGTTTGTAAACTAAAGTTTGAGAGGCACTGGGCTAGAGCTTTTCTGAAAAAGCATCGTAAAGTCATTTAAAAATAAATAATACTTAATGAACATGTAGGGGCAATTCATGCAGCTTCTCATTTAAAAAAATAAAAATATAAACTTTCCTTAAGTCCACTTCTCTTGTTATCTAGCACAAAAGCCTTAAGTGTGGACAAGATAGTTTATTCATAGGAAGTAAGACCACATTATTGTTCTGTTTACCAGGGGGACCTGGGTTTGGGACTCACACAAACCCAAGTTCAAATCCTAGTCCTGCACATAAATAACTAGCTGCGTAAACTTGTACAAGGTACTTTGTCTCTGGGCCTCAGATTCCTCATCATTTGTATAAAGGGATTAAAAATAGTACCCACTGTCACTGAGTTGCTATGAAGATTAAATGAGACACTATAAGATAGTAACTAGGATTTGACCAATAATTTCAGTTTGCTAGAAAACTACCCACTGGATATTATGTCTTGGGGCACCTAGAATCTATTTCTGATTGGTATGAATCACATTGGGCTTCCCACAGGTAGAATACTAAGAAAGATATAGAAAATTAAAATACAGAGGGTGCCAAATAA